AAGAAAGAACCACTAATTTTAGAGTAGTGATATACATGAGAATTGTCCCTATAAGGACACCATAGTAAGTTTCACTCTGAAATTTGGCTACACTGGAATACGCAGGAGAAAAAGAAAGCAGAGACAAAACTACTTCAACAAATATAAATCCATTTAGCACAATGCATTAAACATTAGTATACCTTCCGTCATGAAGCTATAGTTAGTTTCATACCCTGCAAAGAAATAACTTCATCATTTGACAAATACTGTTAGAGGCACTAGGCTTTTGTGGTTAAGAAACTATGCCTTACACTTTATATGTTCTACTGATGATAGGGGATATAAATTATAATTACAGGCATTATTATTCAGAAATGCTGTAGCTCCTGACATCTGTATCCAAGCCTCATTCCTGCATGTGTACCTCATAGACTTACTGGGATGTGACAAAGGAAATCACCTATCAGCCCCATTGTGATGGCTTAAAACTGGTTTTAGTAATAAGAAAACTGTCTTGATAAAGCAGCTACTTGTATGCCTTTAAAATGTCTGTTTTACTATTTCTTCTAAGATTTTATTCTCCATCTGCTTTGAGGAAAGCAGATAGATTTCAGCATGGCTTTATAATAAATCTTCTCAAGGAGGGACTAGCATTAACATTTGTGTAGGTTCTTTTTCATCTTAATCCAACCTTAGTTAATAATCAGAAAATTCTACATACTGAGTTAGAAGATGTAATTAACCCTTTGACCCCAGAATTTTAATTGGTGCCTGTTGAAAACAGTGGGCAGTTAAAAAAAAAAATTAAAAAGTAGCCTGCAGTGATCGAAACAGCTCAATGTATAGTAACTTTCTTGATTTAAAATTTTTAAAAATTCCACAGAACTTTCAGATTAATCACATTTGGTTCCCAAGAATAACTGATTGAAGATTTGTTTCCTCTTCCCACCTTTTAACATTCAGACACCCACAGGAAACCAGTATTGATGCTACTCTTAACATTTTTCTAAGTGGCAAAATACAGCTAACTATAAACAGGGGTCACCCTGAATGAGAAGGTAACGGCTGTGTGAAGAGCGACCTTGCCAATCTGCTGTAGACTTGGTTTCATATCCCATTCTCTATTTACAAGGTAATCAAACCTGAGTTATAGACATTCATTTCACACTGTAGATATAATTGACTGAAATGATAAGCATAAAAGTGAAGATTAACTAACCCGTTTTGTTTTGTTTACCTGTATGATGACAAACAACTAATCTGAGTAGTTGCTTTTTTCCCCACCAAATTGGCTGTTATTTTTAATTGAATTGACTGGATGCTTTGTGTCATGTAGACATAGACTCGTTTTAATCTCACCAGGAAATTGGAACATGTGTCAAAGCCTCTATTTTTGCCAAACAAAACTGGCCAGTTCTTAGATCGCCGCTGTTTAATAGCATCAGATGTTTAGCCTCCAGATATTCCTTTTCCCTGCTATAGTGTCCAGACCGCAAGTATTTTAGTAGGTTCATGAGATATGAACCTAAGGTTAAAAAAATTATACTCCCTTCAGTGAAAAAGTAAAGGATGTGTGTCGATGGCAAATGAACAGCACTGGGTATTTTGGAAGACTATGAAAGAATCCAGTCTAACTCTGATCTTCCAAATGTCAGGAGAGACCCCAGACTATGTTAGACATCTGTGGCATCAGAATCTGCAAATAATCTAATAGCTCCATAAACAACTCTTGGAAGAAATCATTGGCATCCCTCTTAGTCATTCTAGCATGTGTGATATG